AAAGGGGACAAAACCGAGCGAAACCTACGAGAAAAACCCCACCTTCGAAAAAAACCCCAACAAACAAACCAAAAAACAAACACACATACAAAAACCAAAACCAAACACCAATTATTATGCAATTTAAGCTTTTTTTTTTTTTTCCCAAGGCAGCAAGTGCCTTCCAAAGCCCAACCGCACCGACACTCCCACCCCCTTCCCACGGGGGTAAGCCAGACCTACCCGGGGCCGAAGGCCGCCCGGTTCAGCGAGGGGGGCAAACCGGGGCCGCCCCGCCGCCATCCCCGCACCCCCCGTGCCGGGCTCCCCTCTGCGGGGGGCACGGGCAGCTCCCGGCTGGAGCGGTGGGAAGGCCGGGACCTCCGCCGAGCCCGTCCGTGCTGGGCCGCACCGCCCCCAGCGGGGCGGGCCCGGCGCCGGCAGCACCGGCCCACACGTACCTGCTGCCGCCGCCGCTCCGCCACCGCCCCCGGGGCCGGGCCGGGGAGGGCCCCGCTCCCGCCCGCCCTTAAAGCGGCAGCGTCGCCCTCGAGGGCTCCGCTGGTGCCCGGCGGTGGTTCTCCTTCCCGTCCTGCAGCGCCTGCCCCGCTCTGAACCCACTCTGCTGCCCGGTCGGCGCCGTGCGCTTGCTGCGCTCCTGCTTCGTTTAGAACGCCTTTCTGAAAGGCTTGCGCTAGTGTGAATCATAGAATCAGGTGGGTTGGAAGGGACCTCCGAGATCATCAAGTCCAACCCTTGATCCACTACCGCTGCGGTTGCTAGACCATGGCGCTAAGTGCCACATCCAGTCTCTTCTTAAAAAGCTCCAGGGACGGAGAATCCACAACTTCCCTGGGCAGCCCATTCCAATTGCTGATTACCCTCTCTGTAAAGAAATTCTAATATCTAACCTAAACCTCCCCTGGCACAACTTAAGACCATGCCCTCTTGACTTGCTGACTTGGGGGAAAAGAGACCAATCCCCACCCAGCTACAACCTTTCAGGTAGCTGTAGAGTCAAACTAGCTCTGTGTTTAAAAATGTGTATAAAAATCCACTCAGGAAAGGGAGTGATAACACATGTCTGGATTTGACAGCAGGGAAAATGATGTGGGTTTCTTTTCCCCTTTGCACGTCAGGTCAAGGCCGCTGTCAATCCAGTGTGGCTCAGCCAGAGCTCTCCAGCCTCTCTGAGGCAGCAACAGCTACTGCGGGCACTGGCCACCGAAAGAGCATCCAGTGCCGATTCTGCTACTCAGACAAGCTGGACCTTTTGTTTACCCCTCTGCATGTTCCTTTTCCACGTGCTCCATCCGTTCCGTTCATATTTCTGCTGCTCTACAGATCCCTTCACTTCCCTCCACCCCAGACCCTCTCCAGTGTGGACAGGAGGGAGGGGTCTTCCTTTACAGCACCATGCTGCTGCTGTCCCTCAGGAGGGCACAGCTCTGTGGCAGGTAAGGGCCCAACAGCCTACAAACAGTGGTGTTTCCTCTGAGGCCTCAAAGTGGCCAGATTTTCACGTGGCAGTGGCTGCGACTCACTGGTGCCTGGACAAGGAACCAAACCCACCTGCATCCCTCCCATTGCCAGCTGCTGACCATCACAGAGGGATCCACCCAGACAAGGGCTCACCTTCCTCCCAGGTGGGCTCGGTGCCAGAGCCAAGCCCAAGCCCCTCCTGAGGGTGCAGTAAGGCCAGGCTGGGGCTGGAGGTGGTTCTTGGGATCCCTGCTCGCTGGCCGTTTGCTGTCCTTCCTGCAACAGCCGGTTTTGTTACATTGACTAATTGGCTCCATCCAAGGAGTATCACAACAACTCAGTAGGAGTCACACCTGTGACTCTCCAACAGCTCCCACTGACTCTCTGCCCCATCTCCTGTCCCATCTACCAGGATTTAGGAAATACAAGCAGCTTCTGACAACAAGAGTGACAAATGTGTGTTTCTCTAGTTTCCCTATGGGACAAAGCGTCTCAAATTTCTCAGGCTGCGTTTTGAAAAGGCTCTTGTGCATTGCCCGAGGCGATGATTCTGCAGCACTTAGGATGCCAGGGTTTTAAACTTGGCGATTTCTCAGCCCAGGCCTGGGTCTGCCCAAATCTCTGAGGTTACGAGGCCATCTAGTGACCTGTTGGTTTGTTGCAATTAAAAGGTGCTCTCCAAGGTGGGAAAGCTGCTTCTAAACCAGGACCTGTTCTTTAAACGAGGGTAATCCGCAGTCTCCCACGAGAAGGTGACCCCTCCAAGTTGGGCTGCACAGTGTCTGAGACCCAGACAGAAGCTGGTGTCCACCTGCCACATGAAGGAGCCTGAAATCCACAGGTATGTTAAGCTACAGGGATACTTGCATGCCTTTTAGTCTTGGGAAGCAGGACTCACACTCGGTGTTTTTAGAAATGATCCCTCAAATTGTATAAAGGTGTGGACTTTTGTGTTTTAAGCTCAGGAAGGGCATTATTTCTTGGAGCCCTTAGGGAAACTGAATTTTCAAAGGTCTTTCAGCAGCTCTTGCTGGTCCTCTCCAAGGAGGGAGACATTGAAAACAGTTATAATACCTAAAATTGTGCATAAAATGTACAGTTTGTGCCCTCTAGACATTCACCACCATGCAAGGAATAAAAAACTCGGTAATATAACAGGAAAATCATTATCAACATCAGCTCAGGATGCCATGTAAGATGCAGTACCAGCTTTAAGCATGCTGACAGATGAAGATACACCTCTACCTTGGACATTTTATCTTATGCCTGAGAATATTCTCAGAGAAATATAACAGGAAAGCTTTTTCACTTGGATCTCCAGCCTCTTTGATTACTATTTTAACAAATATATTCTCAGGTCTGTTTTTTTTAAGCTCCTCATATATGATTTTACTCAGTAGCTATGGGGGCCTCAGTGAGGTCACTGCTGTCTAACACAGACCAGCATCGCACTGAGGCAGGTAAGAAGGATATAATCATAGAATCATGGAATGGTTTGAGTTGGAAAGGATCTTAAAGATCTCTAGTTCAAACCTTCAAACCCTGGCTGTTCCCAGATGAGGGATTGCTTAGGTGAAAAAAAGAGAGGTGAAGTCCTTGCTTCCCATTAACACTGGCTGGAATGTTAAAACCAGAAATCCAGTATTTCTTATTTAACTACAAATAATTAGTTATGATTGTATAGATTTCTAGCATGGCATAAGAAAGCTCTGATACCAGTGATAGCTGCCATCCCTCTTGTGAAAGTCTAGGGGAACCACTTAGACTTTCAGAACATGCTTTGTGCTGATTACTTCAGCAAAGTCTGTCCCCCGTGAGAAAAAAAGTTTAATTTCCAAAGGCTTTTTGCTTTAGATGGTGGTATCTCAAGAATTTTTGCTGCTCAAATCTATGGTATCCTGTGCAACCAACTACCATAACTGTGCTGGAATTCGCTCCGAGGACAAGGACGTCTTTGATCATAACATAACATCGATTTGGCATATCATGGAGGAGTGCAACACTTGCAAAATACAGTTATAGAGTAACACACAAGGGACTCTTGAGTGTCCAAGGGAATTAGGGGATTACTGGCTGATGATACAACTGCCTGTATCTCAGGGGAAATCTTGTTTGAGCCAATTAATAACAAAGAAATGGAGCTGCACAAGGACAGATAGAAGGGGAAGACAGAGAGGAGCTACCTGCACATTAGCAAGCCCTCAGCTCATGATTCCTCACAGATACAAAGGTTAAACTCAAAAGAAGGCAAGCCTGTGGTTCAGCACCCAGCTGTTCATTCTCTCTTTTCCAGCTGGTACAGGTGACAAGGCCAGCTGCTCCAGTTTGCTGCAGTGAAAGGACTGAAGGGAAGATGGATTAATTCGGAGCGCTGTTGATTTGTAAAAAGTATCCCAACAACTCAGTATGAATAGTCAGGGTTTTTGCACATCAGGATCAATTTGTGGTTGCCCAGAGGCTGTGGGAGCAAGTTATTATCAAAATGTAGCTGGTGCATTAGCTAGGAGCTAAGGTAAAATTGAGGCTGAGAGCTCTGGCTAGGTAAGGGAGAGACAATTCAATTATTCTGTTGTGCCTTCAGCTGGAATCCAATTTCAGAATAACAAGACATCTTTTGCAGTTGAAGAATAATATCTTAACATAACAACAATCACATATTATATGTCATGTGTCCTGAAAGCATTAGATGTTCTTTTCATAGGATTATCTTTCCCCACTGCCTTGGCAGCTGCATTACATTACGAGCAGGAAAGAGCAGCAGCAGGCAGAGATGAAGGCATCAAGTACCTTCTAGCAGCGGTAGATACAAGATAGGGGAATTTGTGATGTGCAACTGTTCTTCAAAGTGGAGGTGGGGTGAGGAAATGAGGAGAAGTTGTATTAATCTGACCTTTGTGCCACTGCAGATTCAGTTTTTCTCCGTGAGAGGTCCCTGTGAGAGCCTTGATGGTGAGACTGGGATGTTGAAACTCTTATCTCTGAGCTCATTCTTGATTTTGCCTTTTGTCCATGTGTGTGATTAAAGTATGCTTGGCTTTAGCTGACTGCTTGTGTTCATGCATGGTCAGACATGAGAGTATTTTTACAGCATGAATGAAGACTGGAAAGATGCACAGTCAGATGGTTTGTGCTTCTCTTTGGTGTATTGTTTGGACACTTGTTTTGCTGTTAAAACTACAGAGTATGTCTTTTCAAGCCCTATTTTTGAACCATTGAAGTCTCCTTGAGCTGGTGGGACTTTGGCTCTCATATATCTCTTCAGTAATGATCCTTGAGCTCCTGAGGTCACAGCAATATCTTGTGACAATCATCCAGCACGACTGAACCTTGCCATGGGGTAAAAATTAGGCAGAAGCAGTCCAGCCTGATGAACTTATGTGTTGTTAACGAATGTGTCCAGAGTTGTGTCCTGTAAAAACATCAGGTGCTCTGATAGTTTTATTTGCACAGCAAAAAGATTGCAGCACAGGCAGCAACTAAGAGGAAGCAGCCACCAGTTTGCCCAGCCACTTCTGATGACACAACTACTTGTAGTAGTACACTGAAAGAGGTGGTGGACAGTTTACAGTGGGCTTTATTTGTAGCTCACTTTGGTTTTCCACAAACTGAACTATTCATGTCATAATTTTTATACTGTTATGTTGCTGCTGTGGTCATCTGTAATAACTTTCTGTTAATAACATGCCAGTGTCTTATCCTGGGAGGGCAGGGATCTGGGTCACAGCAGTCTGCAGGAAGCTTTTGGGTATCTGCAAGTCTGGGCCAGCTCTGGAGCTAGCCCAAGGTGAGGGAAGATTTATTTACAGGAAGGACTGTAGACAGAGCTGAACAATCGCATCAGAGCATTCATTTGGTTGGGATTTTTTTTTTCTCATTGTTTTAGGGG